AGATGTTGTGAGAGCCATATTGAGAACAATTATCTGAATGAAAATGCGTTGGCATTACTTGGAACCAAGAAATCAAATGACTGGTTTTCAAGAAGTGATATTACAGGTCTTCTCTCCGGAGTTCAAAGGATGCTGTCTACACATTCTGGACATTTGAATTTCGATGTGCCATCATTTTTAACCAATGAAGATTATGTAACATTGACAGGATTTACCAAACAGCAGTTTGACGAAATTGATACTCATTTGACATCACTTAATAATTCAGCAGTTAGGTCAATCCGGACATGTCAAGCTGTGTTTCTCTTCAAATTACGTAGTGGATTGTCCAACAAGTTAATTGGTGTGCTATTTCATTTAACATATTCACAAATCCAGCGTATAGTGAACAGCACAAGGAATGCCTTAGTGGAAGATTTTGTACCAGATAACCTTGCTCATGGAGACTTTGTTCAAAACCACACTACAAATATAGCAAAATCATTGTTCCAACCAGGCGAAAACGAGGCTATTGTTGTTGCTGGTGGCACCTATGTTTACATCCAGAAGAGTGCAGACTACAAATTCCAAAGGAGGTCCTATTCTATGCAGAAGAACAGACCACTCGTTAAACCAATGATGCTTGTAGGAACAGATGGCTACATTCTGGATGTGCTCGGACCTTACCTGGCTGATGGCGCAAACAACGATGCCTCCATTACAAAACACATGCTTAAGGCAAATGAGGAAGCTAGCAAGTGGTTCAAACCCGGCGACATATTCATTGTAGACAGGGGGTGTAGGGACGCTGTGAGGTTTTTAGAAGACCGAGGTTTCGATGTGAAAATGCCCTTCTATCTTCAGAAAGGCTGCAAGCAGCACAGCACCGCAGAGGCGAACCTTTCACGTTTAGTCACAAAAGTCAGATGGGTGGTAGAAAGCGTGAATGGCAGGATAAAACAATGGAAACTGTTTGACAAAGTTGTTCCAAATACCCTGATCCCTTCTATTGGTGACTTTGTGAGAATCATCTGTGCTCTTATCAACAGGTTTAAAGAACCACTTGTGAAAACTGACGCAACATCAGAAGCACATTGCAGGGCAATGCTTGCAAAGTCCAAGGAACCAAATACAGTGAAGGCATTTTTGGAAAGCAACAACTTACTAAATAAGAGAACTGTTTATCAAAAGCTGGAAGCAGAAGACTTGATGGACTTCCCTAAACTTTCCACGGATGACTTACGAAACATCACCATGGGAGTTTATCAACTTAAACAGGCTCCAAGTTATACAAAGGAGCACTGTGTTGAAGATGGACTGTATGAGTTGCTGGTCTTTTCAGAAAACCCTAATCTGTTCAAGTTAAAAATACAGTCTCGACACTGTAACAGCAGAGCACATTCTTTGTGGATTGAGTATGACTCACTCTCTGATGATCCCATCAAAGGTTGGTACTGCACTTGTAAAGTAGGCTCAAGAGTGGTCGGTTGCTGTTCCCACATTGCAAGTGCATTGTGGTTTCTAGGATATGAACGCTTCCAAGGCAAATCATCTGGGGCAGTGACTATTTCGACAAAGTCTTTGGCTGATGCAGCTGACATTCCAACAACAGATTCCGACACGGATGAGGAGTATCCAGAGGAATAAACTGTAACACTATATGTATTTAAAGTAGATATAATTTGAAGTCGCTTATCACTTGTTCATTTTCATGTTTGTGAACAAAACCAAAGGTTATACATTGATTATATGCTTCGAATATGCTTTGCTTTCAAAAGCACCAGTGCAGAAGTATGAAGCAAAATAGAAACCGATAACAGCTTCAGGTGATGTTCTTGCTATGTGATAGACTTTGTTGCACACTTTGATTAATAATCAATTTTTTATATTGTGTACACTAGTATACCTTTATAACAAAAATGTTTTACCAATGAAATGATGTGATAAGTGTTTCGCTTTCAACAAGTAACAAGTGGAAAAATATTGTAACAGAAAAGAATATGTTAACAATTACAGGTATGCTATGTGATAGACTCTGTTGCTAGGGTACTAACTTTGATCTGTATCAAAATGTTTATATTAAACATATTTCATAAGAAAAGGTTAGTCCATGTAAAGTGATAATGATCTGTTTTCATTAAATAACGTACAATAAAAAACAGTGCAACAATATAAAAAAAATAACAGTTTAGGTCATATTCTTGCCATGTGTAAGAATACTTTGCTAGGGCACTAACTTTGATCAATACTCTAATATCTATATTGTGATACCTTTATTAGAAAGATTAGCTACTGAAAACATGAGAAATATTTTGTTTTCATTAAGTACAGCAGAAGAAAAATCTTGAAACTGGAAAGAAAATGTTGTTATCAATATAAGGTATTGTTGTTGCTATGCGACACATTCTGTTGCTAGGGAAATTATTGTCACTTCCCAAATGTTTGCATTATAATACCTTTGTAAAAAAAAATTTAGTCCATATAATTATGTCACATATGCTATGATTTGTTTTCATTTCACAAGTTCGGACGATAGAAAATGTTGTTACCAGTAATAAATCTTATAGCCATGCCGTTGCTATGTGATATAATTCGTTGCTAAGGTACCAAATGTAAATATATTAAAAGTTTAATTTAAGCCTTTGCTAGCAAAAGCCATTAGTTGATAACTTCCATAAGTGATTTAATTACATCAATATTAAGCAGCATATTTGTATGATAATTAAAAGTTACAGAATCTTTTTGTAATGCTTTGTGTCATTTTTCTCTTAAAAAATACTGGTGTGACACCTATATTTGAAGTGCCGCTACGCATGCGCCGAGAACGAAAACATGCTAAAATCCCCCAATTCATTAATTACGTTACTATCCTTACTCAATATAGGTATTTCATTAAATTTGAAGAGGGGGCCAAATTTGACCCAAATCATACATACTCCTTTATACATGTTTGAACGAACACAAAAATGCTCCAAATGTCTTACCTTAGATATGCACTGGGTGGAAATTCCTTCCTTGTTGTACTAGGTAAAACGCCATTCCTAAAACACCATTAAAATTGTTGGTTGACAAAATGTAATAAGCCTTTTCAAGAATATTGCGCCGGAAAAGGATTTGTCGCCGTGCATTTATATATATATGTACAATGTTAAGATATACGTTGTCACTGTTCATTCGTTAATTATCTAAGGTGTCTGACTGTAAATCCTGTCGTCAACAGGTATCCACGTATACTTAAGTTATCTCCTTCTGACACATATGTATTTCACAACCTATCCTCGTATACTTCAGTTATCTCCCTTCTGACACATATGTATTTCACAACCTTACTTCGTATTTTATGACAGTAGTTTATGTTTTGTTTGTACTTTGACTCAACGTCCAACCTATTCGTTCTCTTGAAGTTTAGATTCTTTGTTTTACACACCAAAATTACACTTTGTCATTGTACATAAATTCATGCAGACAATTAAAATACGTCCAACACGAACTGGACTTCTTCATTATCAACTCTACGACATCTACATCCTTACATTCAACATGTTTTCATCATATCTGGCGCCGTGACTCAAACTGCCGGTGAACGACGAAGGATCTTCCACCACTATACAATCAACGAGCCACAGCAAAAACACCAACTTATGACCATTATGTCATGTGATTTGTCTGACGAAGTACCCTTTAAAGAGTGATTATGAATGATACTGTGTCTTTATTATTCATCATACTTTTCATCGACGCAGATATCCACCTTACATTACAACATGGAACATTATTATTTACTAATACTCTATCATATGCTATGTATCCATCACATTTACAACACGCTGATGAATGGAAATTAGACACGAAGTAGTTATAATGCAAGGAACAATCTACAATCCTTTCTTTCGTCTGAAGCATCAACATATTCATTTACAAGGAACTCTAGTGAACATTATTAGTCATTATCTATCTCCAGCCTTATAGTGTGCGAGGAATCAACTCTGACAGAAAAGACGGCAGTACGTCAGATTCGGGCCTTTCATTATCTTTCATCCTTTGTTATAATTGTAATCACACAGTAGACTTGTTAGCTGTTTTATGGAATTACCATCTTATGACATTTCCATTGGATATCGGACACCTGGAATGGACATTTTGAATTCTTAAAATTGCACTGTTTTTTATATTTAGGTTCATGGTAACGTATTTCATCATTAATTGATGTCTAATTATTTTTTAACATATCTCTAATTTTACCTTTGCATTTGAGAAATCATCTGATGTTATCACTTCTGTATTCTCTACTGTTAAATTTTGAATACATGTTTGCATATCAGAAGATTCTATACATGTATATATCTATTGTTATTAAAAAGGGAAAAAACTTATACAGAGTTTAATATGTATTTCCAATCATCTATTGTTACATGTATAATGCATTTTTGTCCAGAAATAGTACGTATATACAGTGTTTTCTTCGAATGATATTTTTAAAGTATTATTCAATTAACATGCATTTTTCACATCCACAATTCATAACTCTTTCTTATAGATAATACTGACATTAATGTCAAATAATTTGAATTTATAATAGAAACTTATATCACAGATAAACCGGAAAGTATATGTATGCATTTATGTTCATTATTAATAAGTAACCATTTTTTAACCGGGTGATGATGATAATTCCTCTTTAAGATTTAACAAAAAAATTCTGAATTACTAGTTTTACCAGATCTCAATTATCTAATGGTATATTTACGAAGCATTATCTTAAAATATTGAAAATTATGTTGTTTTATACATGATCATACTTAGAAGGTTCCAAATAAATCACGTTTTTAAGCATGTTCACAAATAATTAAAATTTACACATTATATGGAGAGTTTCACCCACGTGAAATTACACGGGGATTTAAATGTTTACATTCTACCATTTTATGTCAGCCTGTACATAAGACATATTTACTTAAAACACTGTTACATACTTATATTCGGATGAAACATTTATACATCAATAACTTAATTTTCAGGAACTTTCAGATTTTATTTCATGATCTCATCAGTCGTTGAGATAGCCTTATAGTGAGCGTGACGTCATGGCTTAGTATAACAGACGTTGGTACGTCGTAACTAAGTATATTCATACATTTTTCATTAAGTTCTTGTAACACAGCCCAATGAAAACATTTCTTTATTATTGAAATATACCTAACTCAAATGATTGCTTTTTATCCTGTTTACTTACAAATGTAAAGCTTCAAATGTTCACAGAAGTGAATTCCTCTTAAGTCATTCCTTTTGTTCAAGTATTGTCTCGTCTTACTATTAAATTGATTTTTGTCATTTATCAAAGTGTACATCTTTGCCAATCATAAATAGATTTCACATATCTAACATGAATAATCTATGTTTTCAGGCCAGGTAGGAGAGAGGCAGGACGCCCGGTCACAAATTAGCAAGAACATCTCTACATCTGAACTTTGATATGGTAAAAGATGGTTATTGTATGTAGTTCACATGTATATTGTATATAAATTTATGTAGACAATAAAAATACTTTCAACAAGAACTGGATTTCTTCATTTCCACTATACCACAAAACATCAGTTTAGGCTAGTCTCCACCGGATGTATTCATTTCCACTATACCACAAAACATCAGTGTAGATTTACTTTCAGATAATCCCATTCAGGATAAGATGCGAAGGTTTTCCACTATAGAGATCACGTAATTTAAAATTAGTTCCGGAAATGTATACGAAAAGTGAGTAATGAAACCCGAAGTAACATTTCTGACCATAAATTCTTGCAACTTACCTTTTAGATAGCATCTAGATGGATTTTGTTTAATATTCCATTTGTATGTTTTACTTGGTCCCTTATAGTGCCTGTTATATTTTGAAACTGAACAGAAAAAAAACAACAACAAATGAAGTGACAGGAAGTCACCCCGAATTTAGGCAATAAAAGATTGCTATTTCAATGTGTAACATAGTGACTTGTGTAAATCTAGGGATAGCTAGACAGTTACTTGTGTAAGTCTATGTATAAATAGAACAGTGTGAGGTATATATGTGTTTGGAGTTCGAGTGATTTAAAGTAAGGACATTTATCCTATCTGAAGCTAGGAGGGGATTCATAATGATATTCTAGAGCAGGGCTAGGAAGACTCCCCAGTGGTGACTGTTACATAAAATAACATTAATCGTTTTATTTGCAGTATTGTAATATTGCGCTTAAAAGTATAGCCCAGAGTAGTGAGACGTAGTATTTTGTTAATTACAGTTCAATATGGGGTGTGTGGAAGGCAGTCGTGCAGACTAAGCAGCGACGCACGTGACACACGTGAACTGTAAACAAGTACAAGTGGCGACTGGAATTCTACTTTTGCCACAGCTATTATTGGTACAACCATGCGATACAATATAAGTGCTGGGACAACGTCCAACTATCAGTGGTGATGATGGATGCAATGGCTCCTCTGCTGTTCGTCGTGGCCTTATGATAAATCTCCTTTCCACTGATCCATTTATGGTGAAAGAGACGATGGTATTCTGTGCGCGTAGTGACACATTTAACTACTGTTAGTTTGTAAACTGTACTTGTGTATTATGCACACATTTATTTACACCAGCGGAACTGTGTCACTCTAATATTATATGGATGAATAGTTAAGCTAGTTTGATAGTGTTGAATTTTCAATTCTATCTCGTTGGTATGATATTGATATTGTGGATTAGTACGTCTTTATTATCATCTGTGTTAGATAGATTTACAGTAGGCGAGGTAGGTTATATCTAATGATGGAGCTCCATAACAACCATTTCAACCTATATGGAATTCTGTACAGTATTTTCTAGTAATTGTTATTTTATTAAATTTATTATAGTCTTGTGCTGTGAAATTCTACAAACTGATTACTTGGCTGACTCGGTCTATCGTGACAAATGTCTTTATTAGTATAGAGGTGAATCTTTCTCAGATTTCACTAGTGAAGTCCTTATGGTCCATATCTGAATCCGTTTGATGTTGACACTAATAAGAAAAATCAAATGGCTGACAGGCGTTCAACACGGTCCGGTGGTAAATATTTCAAATGTTTTATGGATGATCATATCATTGTTAAGATGTTTATATCAATTCCTCAATACTGTTGTCTTAACACAGCGGCATTGGCATGGATAGCGTTTAAATGTGGATACCCTACGTCATTTCCTGATCAAAATCAATAGCGGATGTGCCCACCTCGAGCTGCAGTCGCTGCTCTAACTCTCCTTACCATTGACCCCATCAAATTGTTTATGGTACTTTGTGGGATGTTATTCCACTCCTGAAGAAGGGCCTGTGTGAGCTGAGCGAAGTTGTTTGGGACGCTGACGCGCTTCCTGAGCCTCCTGTCCAGCTCGTCCCACAAATGCTCGACCGGGGACAGATCTGGACTGTAGGGTGGCCACTACTAGGTGTAGTGTGGGAGAGCGATGACGCTACTTATACAAACAAGGGAGACAATCACGTACAATATGTATAATTTATTTACACCTACACATTACACATTTATATACATAATGTATCATTCTTCACATCCACTAACACACACACCTAAATGATGACTTCCACACAGATGAATATTTACAATGCAAATATCAATGTCACTATGAAAACCACGGCCGTCCGAAGAATCAATGTGGTGCGGTCAAGTCCTTAAGTCCTCCTAGTTGTGGAGTATGTCTTCCCGTTACTGAGCTCATATAGTATACATGTATCATGAAAAGCACCTCACTATGACGTATCTCCGCACAATGACGTCACGGAAACCTGGTTGTACCCGCGGTCCATATTACCAGCGATGGCAAAGACAACACAAGTTGTTCTGCTCCATGACAAGTTATGGTGACCACTGAAGCCGCAGCTCTTGGGTCCCTAAGTCTCCGACTCCTACTTGCTTCCGTACACTTAGGGTAGGAAGTCTGGCGAGATGAATCCGTGGAGCCAGTATGGTCTCACAAAACCACTGCTGACTGTCTTATCCACATCATATGGCTGTTCGTGGACGAGTCAAAGGCCCATCGTTGAAACCAGACATCTGTAAAATACAGATGTCATAAAGACATAGAAATACCTAATGTTTTAAACACCTTCCAAACAACAATCACAAAATGACACACCAAACACAACTATCACTCTCTATGATAACAGACATGTATGTAATACATGTACTATTAACCGCATATGTGTAAGTGTATGACATTATAACATGGTTATATAAGCGTAACAAAAGTCAAGTATGTATGCCAAAAGAAAATTAGTGTAGTTTACATGAAAGAGAACGTAATACTTTGGTTGTAATGACTTAACACTGATCAACTTCATTCTATACATATACAAGTTAAACTGACCAGTATTTCTTATACATGATAGCAAAATTAACCTTGTTGTCGACTTAGGAGAAAGCTATTTACCATTCAAAAGTACAAACAAACTATGGCAATCGCATATATGAGAAGGTAGAAATAGTATTGTTCTTACGAAATAAAAACGTAAACATGTCACGCATGATTAGCGCACACCTGTACCCTACTAGCCTAAACAATGCACGCACACTCTATACGATGTAATAATACTAAAACCCAGAAAAATAAGGAAAAATACAGGTATAGATTCAAAGATAAGAAAACTCAAGAAAGAGTCAATACTTACCCCGTTTCTTGGGTAGTTTCTGCGTAAACAATGTCTGGATTTCGGCCAGTAAAGATTGACACGTCTTATCGTAGTGACTGTCCGATTTCTCACCTGCGCGTGCCTAACGTCCCGGGTATTGGATACGGCCAATAAAATATCCGGAAAACATATTAAATACTTACGGACGAAATATGAATCGTGACACTAGGTTCTGGGACATTATTTTGGTTGAGAAAGTTACGACACACCCTAGCAACGTGCGGCCACACATTATCCTGCTGCAACGTAAGGTTTCGCGCTTGGATTAATGGAAGGCCATGAGGAATGAGGACCTGATCCCAATATCGGACGGCTGTAAGATTGCCTTGGAGGATCACGAGAAGTGTTTTCACGTCATGAGAAATCCCCGCCTAAACCATAACAGACCCTCCCCCGAATATGTCGTTTTCTTTAACGCATGCGTCAAAATATCGCTCACCGCGACGTCGATAGCAACGTTTTCGTCCATCTGACCTGTACAACGTGAACCGAGACTCATCCGTGAATAACACACGTCCCCAGCGGGCCAAGCGAAACCGATTTGGTGCATGTGCACGCAGCCATTGCATTCGACGTGGCCTTGAATTGAACTCCAGCAACCGATTTCTAACTGTTCTTGGACACACACGGCGACCATGAGTGCCTACAATATGACTTGCCGTCTCCGTCGCTGTCTGAAATCGGTTACGCGGGTGTGAGAGACGTATGCCCTGATCTTGACGTGGCGTCGTAACACATGGACGTCCGTTCCTGGGACGGTCAGCTAATCTTCCCGAGGCCCTGAGACGCCCAACTAATTGAGCTATCGTTGACTCATGGATTCCAAATTGCTGGGCGACGAGACGTTGCGATTGGCCCTGTAGAATTCGGGCAATAGCCCTACCCCTATCAACTTCGGACATTCGCGGCATGCTGCTTTTTAATCGCCTTGGAACGAAATGTGCACTGGATGTGTGCTGTTCAAAACTTGGATTTGGTATGGTTTTCAAGTTGATAGCAAAACTGAACTCGCGTTTCTTTTTTCCGCTAGTATATATCGGATGAATCTTCCTGGACATTTCAGATAAAGGTATTCATAGTCCCTAGATGTACCTGCTTGATTTTAGCATTGGCTCTTTCTAAAGCTTCATATGAAGGTTTACAATACCACTTCATTCCCAAGCTGTGGTGTTTACATGTCGCAGTTGATTCGATGTACATGGGCATGTTCCCACTATCACGATTTTAATGCATGATGTTGACAACAGACACAAATACCCACAATTTAGAAGTCAAATTCACAATTCATAAAAATTGCTTGAGACCATTTCCTTTACATCTACAGCTGATTTCTATCACTGCCAACTACAACAAAAATATAAAATGTATGTGGCAGGTGTATTCCGACAACGGCAGCACCAGTTGCAGTAAAACAAATAGATGCGTTTAATTCCTATTCGTTGCTTATCTATGACGTTACTAGGTTACCTGGAGGATGTCGCATGTGAAATAAACACTCTTGGTTTTTTTCTTGTTGCACTTTTTTCAATGGTGTCTATATAGATATCTTACATTGCTGCTACATATTCGTTGTCAGTTTCGTGGACTCTTAGTTTGAATTATGCTTGAATTGACGTGTTGGTTTTCTGTTTTACATTGTTTTTGTCAACAATAACATAAACACTGCGAGGTGAGTGTATGTTTTGCATGCCGTGTTTGTATTATGTAAGCCTCCTTGTGATACTTTCAAAGAGAAGCCTTTATAGTACTACACACTGTAGCACACTACCGAATGACCCAAGCTGAACACCCCTCCCGTTTACAAATATACTGACAATAGGCAAACCAGTCGTACCAGGACACTATTGCTAAGTGTTTAACAGACATTACTAATATCATTTTAGATGCCACTGGGCTGCAATCTTATGGTAATGTTGAAAAACTGAAATAAAGAGTGTTATTTTCCGTACTGATAAAATATTCTGAATTTCGGTTAATTGTTACTGCTGCTGTTACCAGTGTATCATATACTTATAATTAGTTATAGTCTGATGACCTTAAAAGTGTACCTGAGTGTTTATGGTCCTCTTGTCTCAGCCAGGAGGCAAAACCCAAAGCCTTTCTCACATTGTTGAACTCTCTTCTAAAGGCCAAAAGGTGAGGCATTGTCACTGAGGAGGCATAAGGAAGGTCAGCTAAGTGGGAGCGACAGAATGCCCTCTGTGTGCGTGTGTCTGTGTGTGTTAGTGTGTGTGTAAGGGTGTGTGTAAGAGTGTGTATGTTAAGGTGTGTGTAAGGGTGTGTGAAAGTGTGTATGTTATGGTCTGTGTAAGTGTGTGTTAGGGTTTGTGTAAGGATGTGTATTAGGGTGTGTGTTCGGGTGTGTGTAATTGTTTGTGTTCGGGTGTGTGTAAGGGTGTGTGAAAGTGTTTGCAAGGGTGTGTATAAGAGTGTGTGTTAGGGTGTGTGTAACGGTATGTGGGATTGTGTGTGCAAGGGTGTGTGTAAGGGTGTATGAAAGTGTGTATGTTAGAATGTGTGAAAGTGTGTGTGTTAGGGTGTGTGTAAGGGTGTGCGTTAGGGTGTGTGTAAGGGTGTGTGAGGGTGTGTATGTAAGGGTGTATGTTAGGGTGTGTACGGGTGTGTAAAAGTGTGTATGTTAGAGTGTGTATGTTAGGGTGTGTGTAAGGGTGTGTGTTAGGTTGTGTGTAAAGGTGTGTTAGGGTGTGTTAGGATGTGTGCATGGGTGTGTGTAAGGGTACACGTAAGGGTGTGTGTTAGCGTGTGTGTAAGGGTGTGTGAAAGTGTGTATTTTAGGGTGTGTGTGTTAGGTGTGTGTTCGAATGTGTGTAAGGGTGTGTTAGGGTTTGTGTTAGTGTTTAAGTGTGTGTGTAAGGGTATGTGTTATGGTGTGTGTGTGTGTGTGTGTGTGTTAGGGTGGGTGTTAGGGTGTATGCTAGGGTGTGTGTTATGGGGTTTGTGTTAGAGTGTGTCTCAGTGCGTGCGTGTTTTTTATTTCATTTTCGTATCACTCGTATACACTAACGATCTCACAAATGCACCGATATACACGGAAAATCTCACACTAACACACAGATATACACGGAATTGTGAAATTTTTGATTTTCATCTGCCCAAATTTGTAGGAAACCTGGACATAGGCGAAAAAGTACTTACTTTCAACGATAGATGTATTGACAGCTTGAAAAAAAATACTACTTTCACTTTGCTCAAAGCATAAGTATTTATATATGTACATTCTATGTTTTGCTAAACATACACCATTAAGTTTGTGCCTGTTCGTTACGTGTGAGTAACATGTATGATGTCAGAGTTTTATAAGCACTCATTGCTTTAGTATATTGGAGATATTGGTTCTAG